GCACCGAGCCCATGCTTTCCGAAATTTGGAACACGTTTAGACATCTTTTACGCGACGATGCGCCACTTCGCGTCGAGAATAAAAAACTGAAACAAACGTAATAGTTGTAATTTCGGGCTTATTTCGTGTTAAAGTAAAAAAAACAAACGTTACTCACATTGAGCGTCTGGGAAAGCGTCTGCTTGTGTGTAGACGGCCAGTCTGGCGAGATTTGTTCTATCTGAGCGATTCGCTAAGCTGCCATCTTGTTTAGACTGCACAGTAGCCTGCATCGTATTTGGCTACGATGCGGTCTTCTCGGAGGTGTCTACTTGACCAGCTACGTTAAAATTGGAATGGGACATAAGATGGCTGCCGTCTATTTAGCCTTAACGTTTCTCAAAATTAACTAGAGGGTAAATCAATAAACAATTGTAACGGGCCAGTTGGTAAGAATCCATCTTGCTAGGAAGCGCAGCCAATATTACACAAAGCACACAACACAAGCGCTTATGTTGTATGTTCTGTGTAAGATTGGCTGCACTTCCTAGCAAGAAAGATAACTAGAGGGCACTCTGGCGCTGCGATCGTCCAGCGATCATGGGAATGACAGATAGTACACACATTCGCCTAGTCTTCGTACTTGCGGGTGGCAAATCGTACTTGCGGCTTCGTTTATTGCTGTGTTTCGGTTTTGTTTTGAAAGAAAGTTTGAACCCTTTTGAACTTTGTGAGCCGATTTGGAAAGTAAGTCTAAAAAAATAAAATGGTAAAGCGCAACCGCTGGACATTTGCTAATACCTGTTTCGTAAGAAAACAGCTTTAAGCCACACGAACACACACGGAGCCAAAAGCAGGCCAGAAGTATAAATATTAGAGAAATGTGTGTACTACCCATCATTCCCATGCTCGCTGAAGCGCCATGCGTTGCAGCTCTTATAGACACCAGTGCCAGAGTTCCCTATAGTAAGTATTGTAGGAAACTCTATGTATTTATCTGTCTAATTAGCCGTCTTCAGTGAGTACTGCAAAACAGCCGAGAGGAAGGAAAGGTTCCTTCCTCCGTGGTTGCACTTTACAAGTCATAGCGTTGTCCTGTGGATATTTTAGTGCGTACAGTAATTCGGTGATTTGCAAACAACTTTTGTCTCACTTTTTTTATGCTCCCTTACCTGTATTTTTTGCTGTTACAAAACCACTTTAAAAATGAAGTTGAAATCGAAACTTGTGCAATTTCAATTTTAACTCACTATTATCGTCATCATCATCGTAACTCAGTAACATGAAGCATCTTATTTTATGTGTTTTCGCTCTGCATTCTCGGTCAAAGGCGTCAGGTTTGGGTGGCTTAGTCAAGCGTGAAGAGTCGTTCAAGTGTGACCAATAACGACAAACTCTAGTGAAAAAAAGCAGAGTACCTCCACGCAACAGCTAAGCATCATCAGTGAGCTCACTTGATGCGAATCTTCCTACACAAAATAACGTCCACAGCAGAGACGTCTTAGCGCGTAAGTGCATGATCGGCGATTTGTGGGCGAACTGGATGCTGTTCACACTGCGATTTCAGCTTTATTTCACCGTTGCAAGTCAAGAAACTGCGTCTATCGAATGGACGGTGATATTCCGACTTTTCTTAGCCGGAGGACCTGTTGCCCTTATCTACAACAGTTTAGATTTCGGTCCTCCAACTCAGGTGACTCCACAACCAGAAATGAACGCTTCATGCACACTGTACGCTGACTCACAACAAAGGGTATACCCACTGCACCCTTCGCTGCTTAAAGCGGCAAGCTAAATAACGTCTCGGCTCTTCCCCCACTGTCTCAATCCTAGAAGTGCATTAATGTAACAATGAGCAGCAGCACGACAAGATGATCAGACAACACACCACCGCAGGTATTAATCACTATTTGTGCGAACTAGCGACAATAGTCCACAGTTGTCTTATGCAGAGCTCGCCAAGTTCACCAAGCAGTGGCAGCTCGCACGCGACTTCCAGCTCAAATCAGCCTCAGTCTAATTTAATAGTTGACAGTTCGCTAAATGCAGCTAAGCCTTCATTGTGTTGTGACCAACTAGAAAAACACTGCAGTTGACCAAATGCATTAGTCGTCCAGACAACTGCATAAACGTGGTGCTACTTATGCATGTACATCACGCTGGAATAGAAAGGGAAGTTCGCCTAACTACTTACAGGTTACCATACCTACTCTGTCGACAACAAATATGCTTCTTAGAAGACCTACCCTGCACTAGCAGACTTGGTATAAAAAAATGGAGTTAGTAAGAAACTACTACACAGAGAAAGCATCGAAGCTTCCTTTACTGAAGAAAGAAGACTACATTAAGAGCGCAACCATTCACGCCTCGAATTCCAAAGGAAAAAGGTGGTGTTGTGGGACCAGTAACGGCCAGAACTTACAGCATTGAAGTGCATGGTAGCATGTTAAAGAGAAAGGAGCACACCTGTGACATATGCTTCAGCCGTTTGTGTTGTGACCAACTAGAAAAACACTGCAGTTGACCAAATCTATCAGTCGCCCAGACAGCTGCATGAATATGGTGCTACTTCTACATCTACTAGATAGAAAGCTGCGTTAAGTCATGGGAAGAAAAAATGAGATTTCATTAGCAGCTTTGCCTCAGTTGTGTGTTTTCTCTCTCGACCTACTCGAGCAAGGGAATCGCAATTGGTAGGTGCATTTGTTCAAGTCGACATAACAAAGCGAAGCTGAAGCCAGGCCTTGGACAAATGGCAAGAGGACAGCAGTGGTCTGGTGTTATTTGTGTGCTGCATAGTGTGTTGTGCAGGCTTGGCATCTCTTTGTTGGCGTCTCCAAGATTTGCAGTGGGTGATATTGTTTCCAGATTACTGTCCCCTTTCACAATACTGCAATTTCTGGCTTAGGTTTTTCTACCAACAACACAGTGTTTTCAGCAGGCGTGCTTTCCCTATGTTGGTGTCTACTGTGTTTGTTGTGAGTGATCGTCCTTCTGTAGTAGTGTGGCATTTATTGTGGTGCAATTCGATGTTTATATTTGCTTGCAGACAGTATGTTCTGCAGGCCTGGTGTTTACTGTGTGTGCCGTGAAGAATAGCTTAGGCAACGACAGAATAACACACTTTTTTACGATTGCTTAATTTTTTGGCGATTTTTACTTACACGCAGTTATTAAGAAGACATGAAATGCTTTCATGATTATGCGAGTTCCCATCAAAGTTGTAAGAGCAGAGCACGTGAAATAGCTGCTCTATTGCATTTTCATGAGTCACAGACACTACCAAATATTTGAGTACTGCAAACAGTTGTCAAGGCAGTTTCGAACCAGAATGGGCCCCCTTTTTTGTCCAAAAGCCCAGCATGTCTATACATTTATGGTGACTTCGACCGTCCTCCTAAAAATTTTGCGATGGATCCGCCTCGTTGAACGTTTGTGACATTCTAGTGTGTGTGTGTTCTTGCTTCCTCCCGCTCTTTTTTCTCTCTCATTCTGTTTTCCTTACCTTCCTGTGATCTTTCCCAATTGCAGGGTAGCAAACCAGAAACTTGCTTTCCGGTGAACCTCCCTGCCTTTCTTCATACCATATATATCTCTCTCTTTCGGCCGTGATTTTACTTTATTACTATATCCAGTTACTCATTTTCTTGTTTGCATCTTTTTCTCGAATCATTGCATTGCTTTTTATATTCCCCAAGAGTAAGGGCTCTGTGAAACAGCTGTTTTTCTATCTCCATGGTTCCTATTGGTTCCACTTTCATAGTTCTTGCCAATCGTAGGGTTTGTTGGGGCTGTTACCTTGCATCATGCAAGCATGTAGGTCCCGCTTTAGTAGATCTGTTTTTTTTTGTGTTTGATCTGAAAGCACTCTTTAAAACATGATTGTGGCGATGCATCATAATGGAGGCACAGTTTGATTTAACTACTGCTTGCTCACTTCAATGTGAAATGGTTCCCATGATATTTTTACAACCATACAGTAATAAGTAAAATAGACAGGTAATTTATTATTCAAGTCTGCAAGCATACATGTTAAGGTGAAGCCTGCCTACAGCAGGCTTTTTGTAGCCTAGAAATTCGGGGTCCTCAAAGGCTTGCTCTTGCACATATCTTTGTCACATAGGAATTCAGACTGTTTAGTGTATCTAGCTACACGCGTAAGAAGGCGACGCAACGGTTTACATAATGTGATTGTGTTCTCGTGTTTCTTTTTTTTTGCCAATGCAGTCTCTCTGTGTGAAGAACTTATGGTGCGGAGCTATAGAGGCCTAATCAGCTGACTCATGGTGGTGTTTTTTGTCTCCTGCACTACGGCAATCCTGTTTAGTCAAACAAATAAATAAATAAAAACATAGAGAGCAGCTTTATAAAGAAATCAGATTCATAGAAAGATTAGTAGGTGAAAAACTTAGGCTGAATTGTTGTCTGTATTGTTCATGCTTCTGTTTCTTACTCAACCACACTAACTAGCCACTGTCAGCCATTAATCAAATGAGTACGTGAAGTTGAAAAAGTTGCCATGTGTGTTTTGGATGTTTCAGCGATTATGTTCTCCATGTTGTCTCTACGTTCGCTGTTAAACATGGGTTTGATATCTATATACAACGTTGATGCAATGGGACTATTTGATTGTTGTTACCACATTAATACCATCAAATTAGGGCATGATAAATTGAATGTTGTTGCCTCAATAAAACAGCACGTTAGGTCAACCTCATGATTTGAATGTTGCTGCAACATTAAAAACACTGTGTTATGGCAAAGTAATATTATAAACGTCGGTGCAATGTTATATTTTACCGTCTAACGTTCCCTCACATTGGTTACATTCAAACCACGTTGACTCAACGTTCTGCGTTACCTGGGGTGGATCCTGTTGTAGGGCATATGTCAAATTTGAAGGAGTACCTTCAAGAACCATCACTTTTCTGTGTGCAACAAGCTTATAGGAAAACGTTTGAACTTCAGAAACGCTCTATCCCTAGCTGCATTCTTTGGCGTTGCGATGTGGTGTCATTCAGCTCGTGTGTCCCACGACGGCATTCGCCTTTTTCTGGCCATACGAAAAACGTGAGTGCTTTTTTTTACTTTGCAGTCAGGTCAGACATGATGCATCTTCGATACATTGCATTTTCGCTACGTTTTCATTAGATATACGTAAGCATGGAGCTTGAATTTGTGTCTTTGGCATGCTTTCTTGAGCAAAAACGCATCACTGTATGTATAAATACAGCAACGAAGCTTGGGTGAATTGTTGAATACTTTAAAGGCTTACACCAATTTGAATGGCTCTTAAAGAACCACTTGGGCTTGGTGGTAAAACACTTAAACAGACACTGCTATGAACATCTCGAGCAAATCATACGCGCCAAGAACAGCCTTCAGGCAGAGAATGAAGTTGCCGTTTTCTCGTGTGCCTTTTTTTAAAAAGTTGTTTCATTATTTTATTGATACCTCAAGGTTTCTCAATAGGACATTAAATGAGGGATGGACACCAAATTTAAAATACAAATGAAAAAACAAAACAAAAAGATGACGAATATACAAATTTACTGATGTTCATCCTCAATCGCCTTGGAAGAGCCAGAACCTACTGTTTCACGTTGAACACCAAGTGGCATGCTGTTGGCCAACAGCCAACATAATAAAGTGCGATATTGGGATCAGAGGTGCACCCTTGTGCCAAAGCAGTGCTCAATAGTGTGCTAATAAACCACAGTGAATGATGTTGACACACAAAAGAAACATCAAGAGCGAGCAAACGCACTTCCTTATGCCAGCTCAAAATTATAATGCACGCTGGCGTATTCTCTTTCTTCCTGCTTAGGTTCCAGAGTGCTCGTCAAGACGAGACAAGAGAGCAAGCACTTAAAGCACGTGACAAACCCTGTCACTCCTCTCGTTCTTGACTGATTAAGAAACATTTCGCAGCAATCAGATTGTGAAGCAATGAACTCTGATATTGTGTCGTTCGAGTGCTTCATGGCCTCTTATTGTGTTGGATAATGAATCTGTTCCGCAGTTAATGTGCACCTGCAGAAATAGGTCTAAGCATTATATATTGTTGTGGGCTGCAACGATTGCCTTTGGTGTGCAAATGCAGCACAGATCTGGAGAGATCTTGACTTGTAATGTCACTGCTAAGTGTGAAAACTAACTTACCTACTCCTTTCTTTCAACAGGATCGACGACGTCACGTGGCAGGGAAAGAATATAATTGTTATGATTCGGGTAACCATCGTTCCAGCCTATCGGCCAGAGAATGCAAGGGGAAATTGGACAGCGACGCAAGTGTGCTGCATGTGCGCAAGATTGTGAGCAGCCACTTCTAGTTTGAGCGACCCATGAAAAACGTTCCTGCCTGAGCACTCCTCAGCTTAGCTGATTGGTGTGCTGAGCAGAATCATGTGTGGCAGCCACGATTGGTTTACCGGTTAACAGCACGTGTTAGCAAGGTTCTTGCGTTCGTTCAAATTTATTGTGTGCTCTTTGTGTGATCGCAATAAATTTTCTTCCTTTGCTGAGCTCCTGTATCAAGTACGGCTTAACAAGGGAACTGGGGTTCATTGCATTCAGTCCTTAATTATGTTCATGACTGCTTCATCCACACTTAATGTTAAAGCACAATGCGAGATACATCTTCTGACAAAAGTGCAATATAAGTGCGCATTTATTTTGGTTGCCATGCTTCTGGAGCTAATCTCTGAGGAGTTTAACCCAGTTTGCTGAATCGCAGGAAACAAAAACAAGTGCCTAGTGAATATGACAAATTCTAAAAATCATTGCTGGCATTCACCTACATTCACTACATTTGATAAACTGTAAGATAGCCCATGACTAGCTCAAGGGACTCTGTGTAGATAGTTCATTAGTCCCTTGAGCCTGTGGTGGGCAATCTCGTATTAGTTACTTGACATAATTAATACATGACAAAATGGAAGGTGCAACTCAAGCTTTTCAATACATGTGCAAGCAAGACACTTCCAAAATATAAGTTACTGACGTGGCTCCAACAGAGCTGCCTTCTGCCTTTTATTTTTTTAATGCTGCATCTAGGTGCCATAGTTAATTTAGAAGTGTAAAAAATAACAAACTTATTGCAACAAGCTATAGATTACATTACCATTGGCACTAAATATATGTCTTGGCAAGACTCAAATGAATCAACCAGTTGAAACATTCATTCAAATACAAACTTCTATTCCTAAAAAAATTGCTGGCATGCTTTGTTTCTTTTTTACCAGACAAAAACTATGCATGTGAATTCCCTTAGGTGAATTTCTTCACTCCGTCATAACGCATTTATTTATATTGTTTCTTTCTTAAAAACACCCGTGAGGCCCATTATTTTAGTTGTGTGTGTCTGCGCATCTATAGTTGGTACAAGTGATTTTGCTGAAAGGCATGTTGCTTTTCCCAGAAAATAAGAACTAATAAGATCAGTAAGTACAGAATTATGAAAGTATGCACACTGCTTGTGTTCAATATGGCAGTTCTTGCACAGCTCAAGCATTCAAATTTTTAAGCACACTCGCTGCAGACTGCTACGGCATAAGCTGCCCAATAATACACTTGTGTGATAAGTTTTCAGTGTTTTGACATTTAGGCAGCCTTTTTACTAGACTCATGTTCAAGTTCAAATGGCATCAATATGACAGCAGTCCTTGCTGCTTACTCATTCGTTTCATGGAGTGCAAGAAATAAACTGAAAAAAATGCCATTGTGAATACTAAATGTAAATTGTTGGGTGCATATTCTCATTGTCACTCCATATAATCGTGCTTTCACTTCCCTGCCTTTTGAACATAGAGGTACTTTTCATGTTACTAGTACATCGCGCTTCTTGCCATAGTAGCCTTAAGTGGCTAAAGGCCATCACTGGCATGCTTTGCAGCCGTATTGACATGTGTCGATAGTCGTGTACACTCACTCGCTTTTTTTGCTGATGGCCTTTTGTTCTACTCACAGGTTGAGAAGCATCTTCGGTATCAACAGAAACAAAGCCAAGGGACACTCCAAACTTCACCAACACAACCTTCAACAAAGGCCTAAGCTCTCACTCTGTTTTGCCCCTACCCTAACACCTGCCTGCCATTGTTTTTTTTTTTGTCTTTCATTCTGTTGTCCTTGTTACCTTTTTTTCTTTCAGTTTGGAGAACTTTTCAGTCATAAACAGCATTTTACAACCAAAGACCACAATATTTGAATTTGTGTTTGGCCTCGAAGAACAGCAGGCCTTATTGCCTTGTCTAAGAGTACGAGGACTGGTGGCAATCGGTTTGCAACAAAAAAATAAAAAAGGATATCACTAAGAAATTTTTGGTCACATGTTCATAGTGGCGTTTTTAGCTGTTATACACAACTTAAGTTGCATGAGACAAATGTGGCATACTTAACAATCACTGCACTGACTCTTAAACAAGTTTCCGCTACTCAATGGGGGAGTTATCGAAAACTTCAGACTTCTCCGTTGTTTCTTTAGGTGCCAATAACACACGTGCGGGATAGGCCAAGTTGTCCAGCCGTGGTAGCGTCGTGAAGTTCGGGTTCGGTGAGAACATAGCAGCGCAAACGCTTAGCACAACAATAAGAAAGTCAAGCCCGTCTGGTCGGAAATTGCGGTGGTATAGCACACCCTTTGGAATGACAAAGTGGCGGACGGAAGCATCATTTGGGGAGCATTCCGTACGGCTGATGATGTCAAGCAGCACTGGATCGCGCTTCTGTTCTTCCCGGTTGTTAAGGAAGTCGGACACTGAGAAGATTGAGTTCTCCGAGGGCTCGTCAGTGTCCTCAGAATCGTCGACAGGGTACCGGGAGAGGCAATAGGCATCATGGTGTAGGCGGCCAGAGTTGTAGACCACTGAATAGGAAAACTCTTGCAGGCGCAAAGCCAAGAGACCAAGGCGGCCTGATGGATCTTTCAGAGAGTTGGGCCCGCAGAGCGCGTGGTATCGGTAACTACAGAAAATGGGCGTCCGTAGAGATAAGGTCGGAATTTCGCCACCGCCCATACAAGAGCCAAGCACTCACGCTCTGTGATTGAATAGTTACGTTCAGGAGTGGATAGGAGGCGGCTGTCATACGCAATAACGCAATAATGGTCATGTTATTTCTGAGCGAGCACTGCACCAATGCCATGTCCACTTGCATCTGTACGGATTTCTGTAGGGGTAGCAGGGTTGAAGAGTGCCAGAATCGGAGGAGCAGTGAGAAGAGTGATGAGAGTCGAGAACGCAGAAGCCTCTACGGAGCTCCATAAAAACGAAACGTCCTTTTTTTGAGGAGCTGCGTAGGTGGCCTCGCCATGTGAGCAAAACTTTTAACGAAGCGTCGGAAGTAGGAACTCAGTCCGATAAAGCTGCGTACATCATTCGCATATTGTGGTACAGGAAAGTGTTTATGGCGCTGATTTTTGCTGGGTCTGGTTGTACACAGTCGGTGTCTACTAAATGGCCAAGTACCGTGCTTTGATGGCGTCCAATGTGACATTTGGATGAGTTGAGGTAATGGCCAGCGCGACGGAAGATGCCTACGGTGGCTGAGAAGTCGCATTTTGAATCGCATTTCTGTGATGTCGCATTTCGCGCCGCTTGCCGCCGAGCCGCCTCGACGGACGCTGGGCGCGCCTGGCGTCAGACTATAGAGGGCTCGCGTTTTGCTAACGTAGCGTCGCTGTGCCCAGCATGTGCGCACGTCAACGCTACATTGGAGTAGATTGGGCCTTCATGATGCGCTCGCCTCCGTTTTTCTAGCTCCACATATACCAAATTTGATGTTACGTGACGTCAATGGATGACGAAATGTATGGCTGGTGCAAACATGATAATCCTCACACGCGTGTCATGTAAGAACATGAAAACATAGCACGCTCATAGCGTGCTCGCGGCCGTTTGGCTAGCTCCACATACACTAAATTTGGTATCACGTGACCTGAACAGATGACGAAGGTAAACGAGACATTCAAACATGATAATCATGACACGGAAGTCATGTACAGTCATTTACCTCCACCTCGTAACGTTGTGCTGATTTTAAAGTGACATATCAACATTTCTCATTCCTGCTTCGCATATCATCGATTCCCACTGTACATGGGATCTGCCTTTCGTTTTTCATCGCAAGCTTCCATCTTACCTTCCTACCATACAAAAAGGATCAGAGTATTACTGATAGGAATCACTTGATATAACGCGCTTTCTCAATTACGTAATGAATGCGTTAAAACGTGGTCACTCTGTTGCGAAGTAGTTTACAGTAGTAACCTAAAACAATGCTACAAAATGAAATAAAGAAATAAGAGAGGAGAAAGATCTATGCCAGGTAAAACTAAAAGTGATCAGAATAAATTCATGCTATCTTCTGAAATAAATAGGAAAATATTCGTCGAAAACTATGAGAGGGTGGCCCTTCCCGGCGGCCATTTTTGTGCTTGCAATGTTGTAGGTTACAGGAGCTGCTGTTAAAAACAGTAAATAGAGTGGCGATGCACTTTGCAGAAACAGCTGACGTAGCGGCGTTTCAGTGTCGACAAATGTACAAATAATTCAAGCGTTTAAAATAAAGGGGAAAGACTACGCAGAATATCGAAACTCGCGGAAGCCATAAGCGCATTCAGGATCGTGTAGGTGCGTTCAAGTTATATGAAGGAATCAGAACGTGGCCTCCGCAAATCTGACTAATCAAATTTCATGCAACTTTGCAGTTGAGATTAACTACCGCCTCCGAGCAAAACAAATTTTGCAGTAAATGAGTAAATAAATAAATAATAAATAAATGAATAAGAATAAATGCAGTAATGACCTTGTTCAAATATTTTGAATATGAATTGAAAAAGTGCAAGAAAAAAATAAAAAGCTGGAACACACCAGAAAGCATAGAATCCTCGAACGAAACGTTCTCATTGTTGGGGCAGTGTGGAATTTGTGACCAGCCCCTCTCCACCATGCGAAAAGTGATAATTCAGAAAACGAAGACGATGCACATCACCTTTAAGTCTCCCTGAAAAAAACCATGCAAGTTCGGTTTTTTTTTCGAGTGTTTCTGTTAGGGTTCATTTAGGTAGTGTAACTATATACACTGTTTGACAAAATAGAAGTTTTTCTATTTTTTTCTATTTCCCAATTAGGACGTGTTACCTGATGAGTAGGCCCTGGCCTGTATAGTTGTCTTTCTTGCTTTATAAAACCATACATTCAACCAGCTTCCACCTTTTAACAAATCAATATGATAATATAAATGTTTTATAGCGAGATTACTATGTCGCGTTTTCATTATAGACAATAGTTTATAGTGTGCAGAACAATTGTTCATGTCCAGGTAGTGAGCGTTTGAAAAACACTGAGACAATTCATTCCTTGATATAAATTTTTTGTTCTCTCTTTAAGCGAGTTGGAATGCACTGATTCGTAAGGAATCCTACTGGAACTGACCATGATGAGAATGCATCTTAGGAATCTATCTCCTTCTATATCAGTGTACATTGGAACAACGGCAACATGGACGTGATCGTACAGCATATTTTGATGTGTAAGACGTGATGAGTCAAACACAAAAAAAGAGCTGATCATGCATACACAAACATTTCAGACCTAATTTACACAAGCGCCTCTGGAGGCATGTCCAACAGGCGCAATCTTCTACATCGAACGTCTGGACAGTTTAGTGTACATAAAATATTGAGCCACAAATAACATTTTAAAAGAAAGCTGCAGACGATATTTCAGAACATGGCGCCATACTCACATAGCTTTTTCGTTTTCATGCGCATAAAGTGTGTGCGTATCAGCACGCTTAAACTTTGGGCTTGTAAGTATATATTGTACATGAAAATTTGCGCTGAATAAACACACACAAGAGAAGAGGAGACACATCACGGCCACTAAGTTTCAAAACAATGTTTCTTTACAGATGTGTACTATGGTTTGGATACCACCGCCACTGTAGCTCAGTTCGTAGATGGACTGAGCCTACGAGTGGCAAGGCATAAACTTTCGTCCACTTTTACTTTTTCACATTAACATTAAAATAACACCAATAACAACGGATAGATTGTATGGCATCATTTTTTATTAGTTCTGTATAATCAGGTTTGTAGCATTGCTGCATACGACACCCCTGAATTCTTCTGCTACAAAAATATAGTAAGTGAAAGTTACGAATTATACCACGGCAATGATACACGGAAACATTATAGTTTAATGCAAGTTTTAGATAATCGATGACGTGTATGAAATAACATGGCGCATGGAGTATTTTTTCTCCCGTGCAATCCCTCCGCACTTAGCTTCCAGGGCTTTCATCGGTAGATGATCAAATAGAATGAAGTTGCAGCTTGCGACAAATCTTTGCGGCTTCATTTGTACTGGGTGGATTCTCACTTTTTTTTTGCAGCGGTTAATAACCACATTTAGTGAATCAATTTTATCAGTACTTAGAATACAGATGCAGGGCCTTTTCATGGAGAGTCCGATTTTCATGTCAAACTATATGAGGGCACCACTTCGACCTTGCCCTCTGCTCATAAAAAGCATTAAACAGTCACTGAACTCTCAAGTCCCCTTGCTTAGTAGAGTGGGTGTGTTGACGACTATTTACAGAACTAAATGGTACCAAAACCACTACATTGTTGCATCTCTCATGCAATCAATGTAATCAATTCTCAAAAACTTCCTTGGGCCTTTTCGCTGCAATGTGTTAACGATTGTTGCATGCACCTACATGTAGAAGCTTTATTTGTGACGTCGCCCCTTTTGCAACTAGAAGATCAATTACCGAAGAATTTATGGTGTGTTCTGTGATATTTGCACTTTGCTACTAATGTATGTGAATCGGAAATATAGAAAGCTATATAAAATGTGAATCGGAAATACAAAAAAATAAAAAGGAATAATTTCAAAAGACAGGAAGGTGCACGAACGGACACACTAATTGAAAACGCAACTAAGACACTTTGTTGCATTTGTGTTATCTTGTAGAATACGACCTTGTCCAGCCATCTTAGCATGCTCTAATAGAGCATACATTATAAAGCTTCATATAAGGTGCCGTTGAGCACCAGTTTATGTACATTTATTGACTTATTTTTTTTATTTATTTAATTATTTAT